TGTGTCACACAGGAGGTTCTACCATGAGGCGTAGCTACCTGAATGACTTGTCAAATACCCTCGTAGATATCGAATCTAAAATGCATCGTTCTTCGTCATTCGCGCACGTCAAACGCCTGGGTATAGGCAAAGTTTGAAGCAGAATTTGGGGTTCCCGACTTTAAACCCACAAGTGTGCTCAACTTCTCAAAGATTGTCGAAGATCTACCGCTTGCCTCCTCGCTCGTGACTTGCAGAAAATATGCCCCAGTTTCAACAGTTTCGTCCACTGTCCACATCCAGGCGGTAAGCGCCCCCTCTCCGTCCCGCAGGAAGAAACCGTCCAATGTCAGGGGCCCATCTCCGTCACGAGGAACCAGCTTGACAACCAAAGGCGTCGCAGGTGCAAAATTCTCTATTTCCAGAGCATAGGTCTTGCCTATCCATACCTCATCAACACGCGCACCTGTAACGCTGTCCGTCAGTGCTGCCGCTGCCATCGAAGTAGCCTTCCCTGCGCCCAACACGTCGGCTATCGAAGATTTTCCTTTTTCTAGAGCCTCTTCCTTGGACGACGAGGCTTTGAGACCCGGAATAAACATCGAACGGGCTGTCTTCAGGAATGCTTCGCAGATTTTTACACCGTCGTCTGCTGGCTGTGTGTCCTGCAATGCCAGGGTCAAAGCCCCGCTTCCTGCTGCTCCCTTGAGCTTGTCAATGTGCGTGTCGGTCACGTTCTGCCAGTCGCTGACCACATACACCCGAAAGGACTTGCTCAAACACTCCTCGTAGACCAAATTCCTGTCCCCTGCTCGCAAAAACTCCTCAAGCAATTCTCCCTCTTCGTCCCTCAGCGTGGTTCCTACCTCTGCTGCATTGAGGCCTCCGTTCTGCTCGGTATCTCTTCTTACCGCCTTCACATACTCCTCATCATCGAAATTTAATGGATTTACCAAGTCTGGCTGGACTCGCACATGGGCGCGTGGGGTAACCCCCAGGGTCACAAAGGCCTTTTTAATACCGACCTCAACGCTATCAGGCTCTAAGTAGGCAGTGAAAGGATACGTGGGCGTGTACTTAACCTGTATATCCAGCACAGCAACAGAGGAGTTAGGCATTCCTGAATCTGGTGGCGGGTTCCACCAGTCATCTTTGCTACTACTACCATCACGTTTGTTGCTACTGTTGTTGCTGCTTTTGCTGCTACTGCTACTGCTATTCTCGTCTAACGCATCTCTACGAGAGGGTGCCCGGTTCTCACAACGGTCGGCCAGGGCGCAAGTGGCAGCGCCGGGACCGTCCACGTTTTCGCTAGTATGTCCGGGCTTCACATTGCAAAGAGAACAGTCGTCCAAGCCCCCCGCTAGGAAGATATGGTCGGTCCTCACGTCGGTAGGTATGGTGGGTATGTAAAGATGGGTGAAGGGAGCGACTCTCTGGTAGGCCTGCTCAAGCACCGGAGCCTCAGCCATGAGAGATAATGTGGAAGGAGTGGGTGTTGCCTTGACAGTTTGCGTCAAACTCAGGCCTTCCTCGTCTTCCTGCGTAGGAGGAGCGAATACGGCAAACGCTTCTAATTTCTCCTGCAGGGATGTAAGGTGACGACGATGGTTTCTAAACCCGAACACCCTTTCTACTTCCGTCTGATCGTAGTCTTCGAAAGCGACGTTCTGCATCTGAACTCGCATCCTTGTCCTGTCTTTAAGGATGTAAGTTACTTTGTCCCTGGTTGCAATAGCACCGCTGAAAGTTTTGTTGCTCCGCAATACCACGTCGTGGCCGGCAATCCAGAACTGTGCAAGGCGACGATTCCCGTGAAAAACAAAATAAACACCACCTTGATAGCCTGTGTTGATCAGGGCAGCTCCTCCCGCTAGAACAAGAATTTCGGTACCTTGGCCGTACACAACGCCAACACACTCAAATTTATAGAAATACATGTTCACGGTAGTCAACCAGCCCGCATGTAAAAAAAAATGACCGCCGGCGATGGAGGCGAATAGTATGATGTTGATGATAAGACCCGCAGTGTTGATGATAGAAACTGCCATTTGTGTGGAAAAGGTCATATAAGGCATTTGCGTGCACGAAAGGAGAGTCACCAATGCCTGACCTAGTCATTCGGTCACCGGCCATGCCATGAGAGCTCAAGCAGTAAGATGGCACCCTATTTATACTCTTATACTCTAGATTTGTTCCACTCCAGCTGAATAACTCTTTATCTCATAAGGTGTTACCTACCTGTACCAGCATGAATGTAGACGGAGCCCCCGCCCCCGTAAAAAGCAGTAACAGCCGCCACACGTACCCACAGTGTCTCCGACTGGACTACGACGCCCGAGCCAACGTAAAGTGTCAAACCTAAGCAGGCCACGGCATTCACCGCTATATATCCCGTTTGGGAGACTCCTGTTTTGATAAATATGCCCGCCCCCTGACCCAGGATGACACCGACTGCGGCACCGAATAGCAATGCAATATCTGCATGTACTGACACGCCCGTCCAGATAGAGACGCCACCACCACTAAAAAAAGTCCCACCAGCTCCAAAAAAGGTACGGGCTCCAATGTTGAGTATCGCTTGACACCCTGTGAAAACGGAAACGCCGCCTCCCATGAAAAGGAGCATCCCGGTCCCTTGACTCTAAAAGCGAGTTAAAACGCAGAAAAAGGGTTTCATGTATAAGACAAAATTTTAACAGCCATTTTTAGTCTTCTACGACAGAACTGGTCGTCAACGAAAATACTTACCGAAAGAAAGGCACAATTCAAAGTGAACGAACATCCGGTGAAAATTGCGGTTCCCCCGAATACCCCTATGGCGTCCCCTACACCAACAACATTGACGAAGAGCAAATTGCTTAAAAAAGTGCATCCCGTAAACACCGCATTGCCAGCCAATAGTAGTACCTGCCCGCCCACCGTATAGACTTCCCGAAACAGCACACCGGGTCGTGTAACGTAGATATGTACGTCTGTCATTACCAGAGTTCCTTCTTCTTGAAGTATGTATCCTCCTCTAAGTCGCAAGGTGTCCAACTGCTCGCTTATAAAAAATTCCGTTATCAATCTAGGGTTGACCGTGAGGAAACAGCTGGTCAAGACCGCTCGCCCTCCTCTTCTAATGTAGAATACGCCTCCTCGGATTTCGAGGAGGGACGGACGAAGTCGAATAGGCTTTCCACGAAAAAGACGGACAAATCGAATGTCTATGAATCCTCCTGCCTCAACAGTAAAGGCTCGAAAAGCCCTGTGGGCATCAACTGTGGGCATGTCTAACGGTCGGCCAATGACAGTAATTTGCCGGCTGACACGAATGAATTCCGAAAGGACGTAGGTCACTCCGGGGAGCAAAGTTACCACAGAGCAGAGGGTACCTGAGCGGAACAAAGTTTATTTTCTGCGGTGAGGAAATAGCGAAATCAATGTCGATATTTTAAAACTTACCTTCTACCATCTGCTGCAACTCTACTCCCGTTTTTGGCGTGCATTCTGGTACCATGTTACCTAATCGGGACTCGATGAAGGGCGCAAAGATTCCACTGCCTATTGTCGTTATTGTACCATTCGACATGATGGGAACGGAATGTTGAATTGCAGGTGGAGTGCGCTCGTCCGTAGTCGGGGACGACACATCTGCTTCTTCGCCTGGTCTTAAGTCAGTTCCGTTACCCGCCTTGTCCCTCGTAATGTCTAAAGAGAGGTCAGTCCAAGAATTTTGATGCTGATCCCATGCTGTCGATGCGTCCTGCTGATTGATGGCCATAGTGGACTTTTTAATGTAGGGTCCTTCCAATGCGCAACTCCGACCACATTACCTTGGACTCCGGTTTGACAACCTCAGTATTGGCGTCGCGCCGCTTGGCAAAATGCACAGCCAGTACTGCCACAATAACTATTACTATGCTAAATGTCAGCCTCAGTGCCCACCTATGCTGCTGCATCAGAGTGTTGGCTGTCGCGCTGGATGAAACATGAATTAGAGTTCAAGAGAGAATCTGAGGTCAAATACACCGCTTTCCAACAATGACAGTATCACATTTGCTGGATAGAATCTTCGTGCTCCACGAGCTGTGAAAAGTAAAAGAGCGAATGGCGTAACACCATTTGTGCGAGACACATCATGGGCCAGAGAGTAATCCATGCCCGCAGAGACAGCGATGAGTTCAAGCAGTCACTGATTTGACAAGGGGAGGACATCATGATAGAGATGTCGACGACTCGGCCTCCCAAAGCATAGCACATCATACCATAGCCCTGCATCAAGACTCGGGAGTGATCATACACGAAAAGTTTACTGTCTTTATTGAAGATGTCGGCCTCCTGAGCTGTGTAATGCTAGTTGTATGCCAAACCGGCGAGAGTCGAGATGCCATGATCTCGCCTAAAAGTTACGCGTCATATTTCCCCGGGACAATAGCCTCCATTAAGAAGCATTGTCATGACAAAAATCGTGGCATTGTACAACGTCCTTCATCAGCCAAGGATCATAGTTTCTCCAAGTAAAAGTTTAAGATTAAACGAGAGGGGTTGTTACCACTTTTGTGCCGCGAAAGTCCTCTAACCCGACGAATAAGCAGAGATGCAGTAATCAGCCTGTAGCATATCGTTCACCACCAGTTGATTATGGGCATACAAAATACACACATAGAGATGTAAGAAACATGGCTTAGAAAGACACGTCATATAAAATGTCAAATAAAGCAGGAGAAGACCTCGCTGGATGGATGGACGAATGTTTGACCGGGACAAGAATGGAAAAAAAAGTACAAGGATGGATGTGCTCGTGCGGTCAGCAAAGCGTCGGCGCCTCTCTGGCTTGGCCCATCTCGCCTAGGCCGAGACTGCACGTGCGTAAAAACGTGGTCAACGGGTGACCGAGGCTTTTTAAGACATAGGGCAATCAAATTCTGTATTGCGTGGCTACAGAAGATGTGGAATTTGTGCTAATAACTGAAATTGCATAGTACCGGCAAGAAACATGAACGAGGCCCGTGCCTGATTCCGATTTATAACATATTACAGGAATCCACATGGACACATAATCTACGAGACAAGCCAGACTTTCATCTCAAAAAGTAGTTTGTGGCAAGGGCAGCCATGGCTCAGCATCAACCATGGAAATTCTTGGTTTTTAAGTTTATAATTCTTGGTGGATGCATTTTTCTTGGAGCACAGGGCAGCTCACTCTTCGATAAGATTCATGAACAACACCCCCAAAAGGGAGACAAAAGTTCCAAAACTTCCAGAAAGTCTTCATCTGGACAGCGTCGTGCAAGTAGTCAGGCTTCAACTGAGGAAGCTGCCACAAAATCAAGTACCGTTCTGGATCCCGATTTCGACATGATTAGGTGAGTCGCACAGATAGCCGTCAACACATCCTTCTTAACAAAATGCCACAAGCTTGTTACCGAATGAGGTTTCAAGAGATGATTCTTAAAAATATGTGAACCATTAGAATGAGGGATGATGATGAATTTGTGAAACGCTTACCGAAAGGAAAAGACTGTACAGCAGCTCCATTACGTTAATGTCCGCTCTTCTCACAAGCACGCCGAATTACATCATTCCAACACCTACATCCGCATAGAAGGATCAAGGCTGGCACTTTCGATTTCTTCAGGGATTCCTTGCCCGGCATGCTCGAGTACGTTGGAGGAGACGGGAGTGAAAAGGATTGGGAGGAGTATGTAGGGCTGAGTACAGAAATAAAAGCCCGCTCACCTCATTTCCTCACGCAAATGATGCAAACCATTTGTACTGCTGCCTCACATACATTTTTATTTCCCTAAATCCTCTCGATGGATTCTTCCCTTGCTGTCTCGTCTACTTTTCCCCGCTTCTCCTTTCTCAGAACGGTCACAAAGAGGGAGGCACGACAAATCTTTGAGCAATTTCCCTTCATGAAAACCACCAACGTCTGGAAAAGATTTATAGAAACGGGAGAGGTTGCGGATGAGGACGCCGTAAGTAAAAGTGGATCCGGCAAGCCTACTCCTACGACTGAAATGACCTTCCTCTCTTCGGCTCTCCATTACGAGGAACTTTGAGACACTCTAGAGAACAGCGGATAATGCAGCATTTTTTCCAAAAAGTTCTGTTTCATTGCTTTATTCCCTGTGTACGGAAGCGTTCGAGCTACTTTGTGTCCAGCTCTCTCTACCCGCCTGTGTAAGCCTAGCATGCCTCAAACAAAATTACCAACGAGGAGCCCCTCTTTCCCTCCCATTGACATTCCCTCATTCCGCCCTCCAGGCCGCCGCTGCAATGGTCGAGGCAGTGCGAGAGATGGGGGCTACCCTCATCGAGGCGAGATCTATCACCAAAGACGCCGACACTGTCGTCCAGCACGCGAATGACTTCCTCGATGATGTGAGATAGGGGAGGGAAAAGGAGAACGCCTATCATTGGCGATGTGTTGGCCCGTCCCTTTTCTGGCCTTTTTGTGCAAAGGAATGCTACCGGACCTTTGTTTTCTTTCCACTTTTGGGACTGTTTTTGGGACTTAACCACCCCCCCCTTTCCCTGTCAATCCCCTTCACCAGCTGAAAGCAAACGACGCCTCCTCCCCTGAACTCGTCGCGTCCGCCAAAAGGGGAAGTCCCAGGGCTATCGCCACTCTTCAACAGAAATTTGTGGACCAGTACCTGGGCGGGATCGATCTGGAGACTTTTCAGGTGAAATGGATAGAAAAGGAGGTCATCAAAAGCGCTGGGAGGAGCAGAAGGGCGTGGAAAAACGAAGGCAACCTTATCTACTTCCCTTTTCATGCTCTTTCTTCCGCTCACTTCTCGAACATCATGCTTTTATCTTCTGGTACATAAGGCAAAAAGTGCAAGTTATCATCAAAGCATCAATCTCTGAGTCTCTTCCTGGATCGATTTATCGTATCACTTCTCGTATACTTTTTGACCAGAACCCTCAGTGGGTGGACAGGGCACGAGACAACTTTTTCGCGGACGAAAATTTGCTTCGTGCGGTTGGGGACGAGAGCGTTCTGAGCAATCTTAGGAACCCGAACCTACGACCTCTTAAGGTACGGACATCCGTGTCCCTTTTTCCCTTTTCCAAGCGCCCCTCTCTTCTTTGGATGTTTTTGTTTCCAACATTCATCCATTGTGTTTGCTAGTGATATGAACTCACAGACCTTTTCAAACCTGCCCTTAATTTGCGGTTGGTTTGTTTCCCAGGTGAGCGAGTACGAGGAAGCCGACCCAGCGCGCATTCTGTCCTCCCTCACCGGTAATCAGGCGCCCAGCTAGCTCTGCGCAAAGCTTCTTCCAACGAGGCCCATGATAGAGGGGAACGCATGAAAGAAATAATCATTGAAAGGAGGAACAGAAAGGGAGAAATGGCGAGGCGGCCGACTTCAAAGGTCAGATTCCCATGAGTTTTTAAACGACATGCTTCATTTAATTCCTGTGAAACATTCACAAGAAAAGTGAGATTGATTTCGTTGTCCAAGAAATTTTCTTCAGATTTGCTGTCTGATGACCAGACGAAACTACGCTATTTTAAAGTTTGGTAAGGGATACCCTTCACCCTTTATCCCGCTGCAGAATCAGCCCATGATCATTTGTACACATAATCAAGAGCACTATGCACCCATGCGAAGCAATTGATTCGCCTTTTCGTCCCCTTACTGAGTAAATATGACTCTCGAAATACTGTTTTGTCGTGCGTGAGCACCCTCAGACAAGCCTTCGTCTCGATTCTCTCCGGCCAGAGCACTCCTTTGTTCGCCCTCGGCTTTGGAGGAAAGTGATAGCCGACTGTGCTTCTCGTACATCAGCTGCCTGTATGTGTACGTCACAATCAGCTGCCAATGGCGTGCATGTACTCACACAATGCACATGCATATTCGCGTCCGTGCGTGGATGCCCATGCGGGAAGAGCCATCATCGCTTCAAGTTTGTTGAGCGCGTCAGAATCTTGTCGCCATTTCAAATATTGCTCGTAAAGCTCGGGATTTTGCGCCACCGTGTGCAGATGAGAAGCCAAGGCTCCCACGGATTCAAAATCATTCGCATAAATAATCGAATGAGGTGGGGCAATCTTCTTAAGATTCTCTGCGTCCCCTACGTAGACAGGTACTGATCCTGCGGCAAGTCCATGAAAGACCTTTTCGGTGATGTAGTACGGATAATCTGAATTCTCTGCCGCAAAGAAGAAGAGGTATTGAGCGGCAACAGCGACAAGTTCCGCGCCCAGATTTTGAGAACCGTAGCGCCGCCAATCTGCATCCGTCAATGCCGTCACACCTTGCGCGGAGGAATGCGTGTTCCAGCAGCGGCCGTAGGAGGCATACGAGATCTTGGAAGATGCAAGCTGCTTAAGAATATCTTTCCGGTGCGTGCGGTCCGTGTTGCAGTTGGAGATCCAGACAGACATCAATTCAGGACGGGCTTGCTTCGCTTCCCAGGTCGGAAGTGTAAGATTAGTAATGCCAGCGAAGCCCTTCATGGTATCGTACACCATGTTGAAGACTGGAAGGTCATCATCGGGGCGGAACCCCATCGTTACATTGAATTGTGACATGATTTGAGGGTTTTTCCGGTTCGGGTAATGATCAGGGGACTCAAAGTATGTTCCCACCCATATCTGTTTCGCCGGTCGGGCCCACGGTACAGATCTGAAGGTTTGTATGTCCAGCACGACCACGTCGGCGGTAGCTGCTGACGAGGCGTCTCCATATCCACCAATTGCTTCACACGGCTGTCCACAGGACTCCCAGGCACCGCTGTCGTCGTTCCAGAGAGGGTCAGCACCGTATACATGGCTGTACTGCGCGATTCTTATACGTTTCGGAATATCCACCTTTTCCGTTTTCATGCTTATTGATTTGTCAGTGATATTAAACGCTTGTCGGGCGCGCGACCGCAGGTGCAAATACGTGTCAAGGCTGCTGCTTGGTTGTGCCGTTTCCACAGCCATGGATATAGAGGGAAGAATTTTCTTTGAGAAAAGCATTTTGTAACGCACGCTTTGGAAGGAATGTAAGAAAAGAAATGCGCATGAAATCCATGCTACAAATAAAATGATAAGTATCCATCGAATGCCAGGATTGTGACAACGTGTTTGATAGCCAAGTTTCCGCACAGGACTGCGAAACATGGTGCGCCGAGCTACAGAGCGATGAATACACCAGCCTCACAGCGCAAGCTGTGTGATAATAATGAATGGTGGAAACTCGTATATTAGCATTCATTTTGGTAGATTGAAATTCATCAATTTTACCTGCCGCCCGCACCATTTGCGATGGACGGGATGGTAAGGAATGTTTTATATTGTCACGTTGCAGATATGGGCCTGTCCCCCAGGATCTCTAACAGTTCAACTCGCTCGCTTTTTGGGAAAAAAATCCGAGATAACCTTCTTACCCCCCTTTGTGGTAGAGGCCAGATTGCACGAGGCATTTTGAGCCTTTTTGGTATTTGAAATATTTTTTTTTGGCATTCGTGTTGGTTTTTGTGGAAAAGTTGGGGAAAGTCAACAACTCAGAAAGAGTACGCTTACAATAATAATGAGGCCATCGGGAGAGCAGGTCAGGCTTGGCATGAAAGCCTCAGGGACATCCCAGGGACTGAATTCTTTTGATACGTATGAATAGACACGTAGGTAGAGAGAATAATCTTTTTTCAAAAGGTATTTAAGAATTATGATGAGAGTAGAAAAACCATCGTGTGGGCTTATCCAAAGGCGACCTCCCCACGCAATAAAGCTCAATCGACCCAAATCCTTTCTCGCATCCGCGGCGAA